CACTTCTGATCATCTCTGCCAAGAACGTATATGAACAGGTCCCAGTCCGAGAAAAGGATGGAAGGATCCTGTTCATATGGACCTGTCGTCAGACAGAACACTAAATAATAATAATACCTGTCATTGACAGCCATTGTATCCCAGTGGATTGTGGACCTGTATTTGTGTTTGAGTGCATAGATGTTGCTACTGATCAATATTACGTTCTATGTTCTGCTGTATTTGGCACAAATATGTGTAATCCTGCTGTGCTCATGACTTTCGGTACAGCCTTCATAATATTCCGACACTGCATTTGCCCCATCCTCAGGTACATGTAAACTCCCCACGTAATTTACTGATTAGACTGTGGAAGTGGGCAATACTAGTATTTCAGTTGTAGGGTCTCTCTCTTGACCGTTGCGTCTGTCAATAGAGTTTCTGTTTTTGGGCTGGTTTGATAGTGAGCATGAAAAATTGACCGATAACAAGTAAGCTTAGTCCTTTTGAACCACAAGCGATTGGAAATTCTGTATCCTGAGTTGTTGGGTCCTGTAGTTTGTAAAAATTAATAGGATCACGTGTTCACTCACCCATTTTAGGTACACAATATTTTCACATTATGCAGTGACAGAGAAACATGAAACTGATCACAGTGGCGGTCATCAAGGATATTTTTATATTTGTTGTACTAAATGGAGTCCCATCCTTGGTAACATAATTGGGGTGTTCATAGGCTGGTATCTGCTCCATGCCCAGGACAACTCAGCATTGAGAGCTATGTACATAACATGCTATATGAAGTACCAACCCCACAGCCCGGACGGAGCGTACACTTTACGTGCCCTGTGGTAGACAGCGTCATCATTCAGCGGCCAGGCTCCATTGAGGAACTGCCGCTATTCGACTTTCCACTGCGAGAATTATTCACCCTCCTCGGGGTGGAGTGCTTTATACAGCTGTTCACCTGTGTTCTTCTAGAGCACCAAGTCCTGTTGTGCTCCTCGGGTAATACTTTGCAACTATTCTTACATTAATTTACAGAATATTTTATTTGTCTAGTACAAAAAGTACATTTTTAACTTTGACACTAGATGGAGTTTAATACAGTGAAACCTCGATGCATCGTTTTCGGCGGGGGTGGGAAATAAAAACGATGAATGCGGGAAAGCATTAAAAATTAAAAAAAAACAATGTTTCTCTTTCAAAGTTACTTCTTTTTACCAAAAAAGTCTTTAATGGACAACTGGTTTGTCGAAACTTTACGTTTTAGACCAAACAGAGCACTTTCCACGTTCAAAATGTTTTCCTCGTCACATTCACTAATATTATGCGCATAAAAGAACGACTTCACTTTCGCCAATGCAGCGTGTGCTTCGGCAAAACTCGGCAAAGCTTCGGGCTCGCATTCGTCGTCTCCCTCTTCCTCACCACTCCAACCCCCTTTGCGGACAATAACAGGAAGAATGGAAATACTATTACTGCCGAACTCAACGAAACGTAGCTGTAGAAGACCCTGAACCCCTGGAAACAAGATGAACCAGAAGAATGAAAAGTGCCGCCAGCCTTTCCTTTGTACTTATAATAAAAGCATTTGTGAAGAAATTCACACTGCACATGCCATCTGGCATCGCTGGAACGAAATATGAGTGCACCCAAATTAAAATCGTAAAATTTCTGACAATGGGCACCGCCATTCACTCCAATGCTGTATGTAATATTCCATCAAAAAGTATTTGAAAGCAAACGCATTGTGAAATTCTGTAGTATAATGTTTTAATCTTAGAAAAATCAGTTTTAACAAAGTTTATGGGTTCTTCAATGTTTTAAGAAAGTTGATGGAATCTTCAATAAAATATAGTAGCATGTTCAGACTATAAATATAATATTTCTGGAAATATTTTACTTCCACTGTGAAGGAATTCTGACTTAGAAGTTTGCCCACGGGTGGTCTATACAAAAGCCTGCCTTTGCACTTTGAACTCTTAAATGTGACTCATTCTTTTCTTGACTGAGCGCGCACATCATCACAAGTGCTCAGTATATTGAGCTTCGAGGCGACTGACTCCTGCTGGCAGTTTTATACAGATGCACCAATATTCATATCTCGTTTGTCTTTCCAAACAACAGCTGTTACTCTACCTCTTGCCCCGTTATGTGCATCAACATGTTTCAGCTTTAGTGTATTTGTTTCTGTCGCCTCCTTCACAGTTTGTCTGCTACATTTGCACATAAGTTAGTAGCTCTTGTGTGCAAGTAATCAAATACATCTGGCAGAGGGAGAAAAGAGGAGAGATGTTGCATTCTCATTGCAGATTACCATCGTCTGATGCTGGTAGCCGAGTCTGTGACGGCGCTGCTGTTTCCTTTCTCGTGGCAGCACGTGTATGTTCCAATCCTGCCGGCGTCCTTGCAACACTTCTTGGATGCGCCTGTACCATTCATAATGGGCCTGCACAGCTGCAGTGAGTCGCAGCTCAAGTCTGCAAGTGAGGTCAGTGTTTTACGAGTGCGTTACAGTCTGACCTGTATCTGTAGTGAGGTACCGCAATCATATTTTCCAATGAGTGCTGACTCTTCTTCACTGTTCTCTTCAGTCTCTCCAAGTATTACGTGAAAAGGCTGTATATGAGTTCCCAAGAAGAGTACATTGTGTTATTAAAATGTATTTTTTTGAATTTGTGAGCTGGTGTCGTGATGTTTGTTGGTGAACCTGTGAGTTCTACAGCAACAAGGCATTTGCACACATTTGTTATTTCAAAGAAGTATTTATCTTGTTTGCTTTTACATAACTTTCCTGAAACATTTATAAGTTTGGTGAATATTAGACAGAATATTTTTAAAAAGTAGTTTTGATCAAGACTGTCGTTGGTTTCCCGAATTTATTGTGGGTGAAACTGTGTGAAAGTCGCGTTTTATGACTGGATTTTAATATAAAAAATTCCAGTATTAACTTTCAAAAAATTTGCTCCACAGTGGAATTTCCTTTTGGAGCTATATGTAATGTGTTCAAATTCAGCATTGTGGACCAAAATTAAGTTTTATGAAGGTTCACTAAGGTGAAGCAGTATTAAAACAATTCATGAGAGCTAGCGGAGCCAAATTTGAGTTCATCAGTGTGCTCTGATAGCAGCAGAGCAAAAACTGAAATGTTACGCATACTCTGTGGTCTTGTCTCGTGGTGAGTAGGTAATGACTTCTGACTTTGGGGAATAATTCTGTATTGACTAACACATTCATTCACTCCATGGAGCAGGACCCCTCTTGAGAAACTGATACTCCTTGCGTCAAGAAATTTTCTGCTGTTTATAGAACTCAAGTGTTCATTACCATGTTCGGAAAAACCCTCCTCTGGTCCCTATCCAGAGCCATTGTATGTTGTCTTTTAAATTTACAGAGGTTTCTTTGTGAAGCATTTTGTTCACTGCATGATGGATGGGGGAAGAAGGTCATTGGTATTTTGTTATGGAGTGTTTTCATGTAACAGAGAATATTTTGTGTGTTCAGGCCAACCTGTGTTACGTGGACATTGATAGCCAGACCGTCCAGTTACCAGAGGAGCTGCCCAGTTTTCCCCAGCGTGCAGAGTTTGTGAGCGAGTTGGTAGAACTGCTCGCCAAGCACAAAGTCAGCAACGGCCAGGCAGACAGGTGGGTTGTGAGGTGCGGCGTGTGTATGCAGGCTGAGTGAACGTAACTTAACCATTATTAGGGTAATTTATGTCGCCCTCGGTGGACTAGTGGTTAGCGTGCTCGCCACTGGACCCAAGGTTCGCGGGTTCAATCCCGGCCGAGGTCGATGGATTTTTAAGGGTGATAAAATCTGTAGCACAACTTCCTTCAGAGAGGATGTAAAACTGGCGGTCCCATGTTGTAAAAGAACCTTGCGAGCATGAACGAGATGTTTCGTAAGCAAAATTCAGCGGCTGTTTCTCACCCAAGTCTATCCTGATTCACTGCTTCACCTCTAGATGGCTCTGGCAGTCAAATCAGGAGTGAGTAGAATTTGTGCAGTCAGTGGGCTGGTCACTCACTGCGCATTAATGCACGCTTTAAAGCTACGAATAGAATAGGGTAATTCAAACACACACACACACCCCCCCCAGTAGGAACTTCTAAATTATGTCCTCAACTTCCAAATCAATAGCCGCAGTTTTCTCTAATACAAAATTCAAAATTCCGTCTTCTCTGCCATCATCACACTAACGCCTTCACTCTTACGTTATCCTTAACAGAAGGACGAGCGGGCATTGCCTGGGGACCTTCTAGGTATAAGATGCTCTTTCTCCCCCCCAGATATCGAAGTGTCTCTCACTTCTCCCCCCCACCAATTTCCTCTTTCTCTCTCTCTCTTTCAGGTAATTTAAATTCGATCTTTCAATGCAAATAACAGAATAATGTTTTGATTTGGGGTGGCTGATTTCTGCCCAATCCTTCCTACTTCACCAAACACACTCATTTTCTCATCTTTAGAATAACATACACTCCATTGAGGTGTCATCAGAACCGTTTTAGTTTAGGAGTTATAAAAGGCAGTAGTGGAATTTTTAACCTGTTCTGTTGGCAACACATGATGGGCCATTGTGAATCAGAATTAAAATTTGCTCTCAGATTCTGTGCCATCCTTTGTGCCGAAGTTCACTGAACTGCTGGCTGGTTTCCTTTGCCGTGTGGTAGTTCTGCGTTGCTGGATGGGATTTGTTTGAAACTTCTGAATGATAGGACAGACTGGTTATACATAAACCGGAGAGTAGTGAGTTCTTATGCTTGGTATTTCTTTGAAGTTTTTTGTGTCATTTTGTGTTTCTGATGTCACTCTGAAACCAACCTTCAACCAGTGTTTTTATTTATGCCCCCAGCAGTACAAACAGATAGAACTCCATCTGTGCTGCAGAAATAATTACTTTACCTGTGTCCAGGAAGGGTATGAAGGTTTTGTTTGATCTGCTTTATATTGTCAAACAATTCTGATGCTAAATGATTAGTTCTCAGAACCCGAGTGACGCAAACACTCCTGTTAGTCTGTTTGGGTTAGGTAAGTTTTCTCTATGGACTACCATTCATTCATATGCTTACTCAGACTGTGTTGAGTAGTGTTATCTGTGCATTGACAAAGAATTCTGAAAACATAAACAAGAGCTTGGCATATTTTAACAAAGTATCGGAAGCTTGACAACTTACGTGTTTACGCTGTTTTTTTTTCTGTACTGCTGCAGCCAATAAGGCAGCAAACTGATTCCATTGCTACCAGAGGTTACATTATTCTGAAGTTAATTATTATTATTATTTATTTGACTGCAAATGGGTTTTTACCCGGTGGCAGTGGTCCTACAATAAGACACAACAAAACATAAGACAACAAAAACAATAAGAAACAACAGAAGAATGAGACAGAACAAAACAATAAGACACAAAAAAACATAAGACAACAAAAACAATAAGAAACAAGAGAACAATGAAACAGAACAAAACAATAACACAAAAAACATAAGACAACACAAACAATAACAATAAGAAACAACAGAACAATGAGACAGAACAAAACAATAAGACACAAAAATCATAAGACAACAAAAACAATAAGAAACAAGAGAACAATGAAACAGAACAAAACAATAACACAAAAAACATAAGACAACACAAACAATAACAATAAGAAACAACAGAACAATGAGACAGAACAAAACAATAAGACACAAAAAAACATAAGACAACAAAAACAATAAGAAACAAGAGAACAATGAAACAGAACAAAACAATAACACAAAAAACATAAGACAACACAAACAATAACAATAAGAAACAACAGAACAATGAGACAGAACAAAACAATAAGACACAAAAAAACATAAGACAACAAAAACAATAAGAAACAAGAGAACAATGAAACAGAACAAAACAATAACACAAAAAACATAAGACAACACAAACAATAACAATAAGAAACAACAGAACAATGAGACACAACAAAACAGTAAGACAAAAAGACATAAGACACAACAAAAACAATAAGACAACAAAACAATGAGACACAAAAAACATAAGGCACAACAAGAACAATAAGACACAACAAAGCAATGAGACACAACAATACAGTAAGACAAAAAGACATGACACAACAAAAACAATGAGACACAAAAAGCATAAGGCACAACAAGAACAATAAGACACAACAAAACAACACACCACACTCAAAATAAAACAGCTCATAATATTACAAAACCGTATAACCTAAAGTACATAACTTAAAAATTAATACCAACTAGACATAAGTCAGTAACAGTAATGAATCACACGTTTCATCAGGACCTTCTCTTCACTTCACTACACTTATGAAGCCTTCCCATCCTCACCCCAATTTACCCCCCTTCACTGCACCCACCCATGTAGTCCCTTTACTTCACCTCATTTATCACTTTCCTAACCTTCTTCCTAAACGTACTTGGTTTACAGGAGAGAGTCCCTAAAACCTCAGCAGGTAGCTGGTTCCAGAGTTGGATGGTCCTATTTACAAAGGAATATTTTCCGATATCTGTTCTTTGCTTTCTGCTCCTAACTTTCCGAATATGATCGACTCTGCTCAGGTAGTATGGCCTTTGCAATCTGTCACCTATGGCATGTTAAAATATTTCTGCCATTATAACTCATCTGTTTTTTGAATATTACAAAGAATAAAAGAGTGGGATTAAACTGTAGGAGGTATGTAAACTGTCAGGCTGATAATTTAAAATAATCTGATACAGGGGAAAATTGATTCATCCGAAATAGTCTACATTTTATTTCAAATTTGTGGGCTAAAAATTGCATTGAATATACAATTTGTTTTTTTTACAATTTTCTGCACTTACAGTGTTAAATGTCAGTTTATTCTGGCTGTGAAGTTGTGTGAGGAAATTTGAATTCCCGTATTTTAAAGGCTAAAGTGGCTGATATTTGAGAATTCAAAATTATGAATGTTGGGTGACCTGCAATTGAAGGATATTTAGAAAATATGTAAGGCTGTGGTCACAGTGGCACCGACATCGGTCGATTCGGCCGACGCCCGACGTCGGCCGAACTCGCCCGGTCTTTTCAAACCTGTTGGAAGGCACGTGCGTGGTCTCAGTGCAACCGATCTCATCGGCCGATTATAGCAGACGTCGGACGGTGATCGGGCGAATTCAAATTAGTTTGTTTTTTTCGGCCGATGTATGATTCATGTGAGAGATATAAAGATGGACTGTGAAAAATTGATAAGTTTTTTGCAGGAAAGAAGAAGTTTGTGTGATCCGCAATGTGGTCAGTATCATAATAGAGATGTAGCTCGGAAGGTGTGGATTGAGATCGCCACTTCTTCATTCTCATATACTCGTAAAATTTGTCCGCTTGTTCAAGCAATCGAGGAAAGAGTTTATGATACTCGCCGCGTTCTTCTCGAGATACATAAATATCATTCACATGGAATCTTTTTCTTTTTAATAACAAATATCTTAGCACAGAACTCGTCTCAAAAAACAGAAGTGTTGGAACGTCCATTCTGCCGACAAATGACAAACTAGTCGGAGGCACTCTGACCAAGCTGTCGGTCAATGACGAAAGAGTCTGACGACCGATATCGGTGCCACTGAGACCACAGCCTTATTAGGAAGCCATACATAAACATGATAGTATCTTTATAAAATAGGGAAGACAGTGATAACAAGAGATTGTGGTATGTTGTAAAGGCATGATAACCAAACGGTTACAGATAGTTTGCAATGTTAGCCTTTGCCCCCAGGAACCTCAGTGACTGCATATTACTGCCACATGGTAGTAGCAATGTGACAAACCTGATGACCTCCAGCTGCACACTGCCGGGTGGCTTTGGTCCGCGGATGCATCGGAAGCACTCGTGGTCACACAACACAGACTCTGGCGTACCAAGCGGATCTAATGCCGTCTCTCCCCAGTCAGATGCCCTGCAGCGCATTGTTGCCATCGTTCAGTGCACGGGTGTCTCGTTGGACGGCTGTGGGCAAGTAAATGGCGTTGAGTGCGAGCTGCCTGAGCATGAACAGTACATAGAGGATCTGCGATTCAACAATGCAGTGCGGGAAGTGTACCTGAACCGTTTTGTGTATATGTTTTCAGCGTATGAGCACTTTGTCATACAACCAAATCAGGTCAGTGGCACGTAGAGTAAGGAAACAATAGAATACTAGAATGTGGGCATCATTACACCCTAGCACTGTGACCTATTGATCTGTTGTGTCTCTCTGTCGGTTATTATCCCATTGGTAACCCTGAATCTTGAATAAGTAGAGACCTTATGATAATCTTTTGGGATTTACAAATGCAAAATATGTGTAGAGGTGTTTCAGTAAAATTCTGAAATTTGCTGTATGTGGTATTAACTAATCCCAATTTGTATAGGCGTTATTTTGAGTGACATTTATCTGTTGGTAGCCCTGCCACACATTTTAAATGTTTTACTTTTTATATGATTTGAAGGTTTCGCGGTGATGTAACTCAATAATTTTTCTCGGGTGATCAGTCGCGTCAGATTGTTAAACGATGAAACCGACGTTTCAGGGACCGTCTCTGTCCACATCGTCAGGGTTCTGATGTGACCAGAGAATGTGGTTGTCTCCCATGTATACCTGAACAGCCTTGTTTTCTTTTTTTTGTTTAATCGCAGTAGTTTCTCAGATTTACTTTGTAAGGTTCCTTGAATAAGGAGCTTTACACGCCTCTAAGATTATGGACTTCAGTATTAAAACCTTCTTAGGTTAGTGATAACTGCTTTAACACATCTTTGCATGTCACTATTGGAGTATATGATAGGTTTCATTTGGTTCTGAGAATAAGAGAATTTTTGTGAAGATCATAAATTTACTTACATTTGTAATGGTGTGTCCTTGGAAATAAGAACCGTGTTTATATTATTATTTGGACGAGTTTTGTTCTTTGTTCTCCAGCATCTTTCGTTATCCCATTAGCTACGAGGTGCGATCGGAAAGTTTCTAGACTGCGCCTATAAAAACCCGTACACTTATCTCAGGTATTAAATTCATCCATCACCCTCGAAGTAGTTCCCCTGGGAGTGAACACAACGATCCCAGCGCCGCTGCCAAGCCTGGAAGCATCCCGGGAAATCTTTCTTTGTCAGCCTGTCAAGCACCATCTGCGATTCTGCCTGAATCTCTTCTATCGTCTCAAATCTCCTTCCCTTTAGCTGAATTTTCATCTTGGGGAAGAGGAAGAAGTCACACGGAGCTAAATCCGACGAATAAGGAGGGTGCGGGATGACGGCCATAGTGTTTGAGGCCAAAAACTGCCGAACTTTGAGGGCGGTGTGCGCTGGCGCGTTGTCAGAATGCCTCACAAAAGTTTGTGCACGACCCATTTCGAAGTATTTCCCCAAATGCTTGCTTTAGCATTTCATAGGTTTCCGTAGCCGTTTTGGCGAGTCTTTGGCAAAATTTGATGCACACGCCATTCCGAAATCGCAGGAGGGTCGGTGTAATGCACTACCAAAACGCCCGTAACTAAGAAACAAATGCTAATTCGATGATGCCGGCTGGCACACTAATTCACTATGAATGTAGGCCGCACCCCCTAAAATCAGAAGCTCGTACTACATCCGGTTCGCCCGCTATTGACACAGTCTTGAAACTTTCCGATCGCACCTCGTATAACATTAAGTGAAGATGACTGTCTTCTGGGTTGTAGTGCTATTTCTGCTGACAGGACAAGGAGCAGTGGCTGAAAAACAGAGACTCAATGCAGAACTTTGACAAGGCCACGTTCCTTTCTGATCAGCCTGAGCACCACTTGCCCTTTCTGTCGCGCTTCATCGAGAGCCAGATGTTTGCCACGTTGATTGACAACAAGATCATGGCCAACTGGAGCGAGGTGGAGCCCAACTTGCGTGTTTTTGACCGTAGGATACGCCTTCTCAGGTACTGCAAGGCTAGATACAACAAATAGTCACTGAATAATTTGGGAGGTTTGTCCTAGCAAAGAACTTAATCTTTACTTCTCTTTCTTCAAAAGTATTTGCATCCTGTGAAGATGAATGTCATTACTTGGGGTATGTGAATAGTTTGATTCTAATTCAGTTCAAATTTGAAAGAAGCATGACAGAATTTCAGTAAGGCTGAACACGGTTTCATAAAATATAATGCCCATTGTCCGTATTAGACTTTTATTTGATCCATGTTATATAATTTGGACAGTGACTATACATGTAAGTCCAGGGATAAGTTCATGGTTTCAAGTACACCCTGGTCCATATGTTGTACCGAGGATGCAACGTTTGATGGTAGATAAATGGCAGTTATGTTACTATTTTCTGTTAGTTTTCTTACACGAGGTTCGGATGGAGCGTTATCTACTAACAGTAGTCTAGAATAAACAGATTTTTAAAGGGAACTTGTGAGAGGCGGAATCTGTCTTCTGTTCAATTTATAAAAACCACAAAAGGATGCACAAGAATATGATCGACAGAAGTTCCTTCTGGGAGAGATTTTTCTGAGACGAAAAAGTTTTGTCGTATGTAACAAATTTATCTATCTACCATGAAAATATTATGAGTCATCAAAGCAGATCATTGATTAAAATAATTTACTGATAATATTGTTTTGTCCTTTAGACTCTTTTGAGATTTTGACTTCCCCACTACAACTGATTTTAATCTGTTATCCCCAAAGCATTAGAACAGCACAAAGTTATAATTCTGTCTTCGCTCACCTTGTATCCCAGAGCATTTGTTTAACGCAGGGATTCTAATATACAAATAGGCATTGCTCACTGACCTATAAACTCCTGTTTCATCTGAATTGCAGATTTGTGCCAGAACAATTATTTTTTCCAACTTGTCACAAAACATTGCTGCTCCAATGTTGTCAGCACTGAATTGTTCGCCTTGTATTTCTAACTCTCGTACTATGCATCTCTTTAAACTGTTTTAATCAAAATTTTCCAAGAATCTCTAATTTCTTGGAAAAATGTTTTGCACGTATGCACACGTGCGCGCTCGCGCACACAATTTGGTGATCACGCAATCCTAGTTTCTTTTCTTAAAAAAAATGGAAAGAAATGTTTTAACTAATGGTTGTAGATCATAAAGAGGACCATGTTTATGCCATGTGCTAATTATTTGAACTGTTTTTGGGAAATTGATTAAAAAAAAATATTATTTTTGCTTCTTGTAAAGTAGTGACTGCATTGGACTGTTTAGAACAACAATTAAATTTGTCGAACATAATTTTGTTAAGACCCTGAATATGAAATTGCATTACAGAGGTGAAACGTGTGGACAGACAGAACCTTCTATAAATGAGTATGATTTCACTTTTATGCAAAGAATTTGTATTTGTGTAAAAGGATTAAGAAATCCAACAATAACCCAGAGTGCTCTACGATATAAGATTTTGAATGTTATAATAATATTATATTGTAGAAAGCGGTTTGGGGAGGCATTGGTTCGGACTCCGGGGTACGAAACCTGCACTACCATCAGGGACACAGAATTGTTGCTGGAAAAGCGCCTGGTGTCAGTGGATGCTGAGGTGGTAAGCCCCCAGGAAATCCGGCAAGCTTCCGATCCGCTACAGCACTCGGCACCTCCCTCCAAAACACGGCCAGGCATATTCCCTTTGTTGGACCCAGTCATCCTCAACAAAGAGCCTGTTCACAGGTGAGGAGATAATAGACCTTTGTGAATATAGTTCCTCATTTGGGGCAGTGTTTTGTAACTTCTTTGTACTGTGGGGTATTGGTTAAAAGATTCTGTTCTACGTTTATTTCTGATTAAATTATTTCTGATTAAATTTATTGTCCATGCCATCCTCTATGCTACTGATATTGTCACTGGGTGAGGAGTTGTGAACTTCAGCAGTTGATTGATATTGTAGATCTAGAAAATGTAACACTATGCAGTGGCGCACTCCTCATCGTTATCCCCACCACCGGAGTTCAGAGCGACGTGAAGCAGCAGACGCTCAGAGTGCAAGTGACAATGCAGCAAGGACCGGAAGCACGGAGACCAGCAACGGGGTCGGTTTGCGGCAGCCGAAGCTAAGCGGTGGCATGAGCCCTGCGCTGGTGGCTCAGACCAACTGGAGCTTTGTGGAGAAGCTGCTAAAGGTGAGCAGGCCCTCTGCAGTGTGATTTATGTGAACTTCTTTCCAGTTCACACTTGTCTTCGTCGGTTTGTCTGTTAGCTTTCCGCAGATCTGCTACAACAGAATCGAAATTAATGTGCTCGAGGAGTCGCTGTGCTGGTATTATTGAATGGTGGCTGAGGGATAATCCACTTCCTCTTGTTGCTGTAGTGATAATGTAAATTCTTCGCTGAAGACAGCCATCTTCAGACTCGCCACCTTGAAAACCTCAAATCCTACTTAAATGCTTTGCTGTTTACTTTTTTTTTACTCTTTCTTA